TAACCGGTTTCAACAGCTTTTGTGATAAGAAGTGTAAAGTAACCAGTTTCGGCAGTTTTGTGATAAGAAGTGTAAATTCACCGGTTTCAACAGCTTTTGTGATAAGAAGTGTAGAGTAACAGGTTTACAGTAGTCTCAACAAATGATAACATTAAAAAAGAAGGTTTGAACTCTTCATAGATATAACATCGTAACAGAACGAGCTTGGATATAAGAACAGTATGGCGAATATGAGAGTGTAGTGAAATTAGTACAAAAACGTTTTGGCAGTTGATAGATAGGAAAACAATACAGTAAATGTGAGTATAACGATATTTGTAGTAGCACAGATTATTTGATTATTATTTGGTTATTTGATTATATAATATTATTATCATATAGTATTTCTAGAGACGGCATCAGTAGCACAGAAGATGTGAATGTAGTGGGCTATCTGTGCTCTGCCCACCACGTGTATCGAAACGTGGTTCTTAGCGTTAGAAGCCTGCAGACTTACCACTGAGCCACTGGGAAACGAATATTACTTCTTTTATGTTATATTTATTTATGATATATTAGTCTTTTCTTCTTCCTGTCATCTCTAAAAGCAAGTGAAAACAGGAGTTTAAGACGTGATAAATGGTATTATAGCTTCATGAGATGTTTATAAACAGAAAGAAGGGAACTACCCTTTGTCAAACCCATGGGACTTCTCTTTAGAATAATATTATCTGCTGTTTATTCTCAATATGGTTGTGTGAGTAATATATGAAAAAAAACGAACTACTAATTACTACTGAACCATGTTATTAAATTAATGTTCGTGTTTATTTCATATTCATAAATCAATTTAAACTAAAATATATGAATTGAGGTTTGTTCTAAGCTTGTTTGTTTGGAATTAAGCACAAAGCTACACAATGGGCTATCTGTGCTCTGACCACCACAGGTATCGAAACCCGGTTTCTAGCGTTGTAAGTCCGCAGACATACCGCTGTGCCACTGGAGGGCTCTAAGCTTGTAAGTAGAAAGAATGAAAGGAGTGGTTTTTAGAAGATTTTTTTGTCTTATTTCTTAAGAAGGATTTTAAGCGTCATATAGTTAAACCGTAGACTGTATCTGAATGAAAATAAAATATTTTCAGAGTTTCTACAATAGAGAAAAAAGCAAGATAATCAAATACGTGGGTTTAAATCTCAGATTATTTATAAGGAAACAGAAATCTGCAATCGAACGTTTAGGTAATGCGTTTGTTTCTCAGTCAAATATTGGTATAAAGTGAAGTTCAAAACGACTATTATTATAAAAACAATAAGTTAAACGATAAGGTTCAAACTCGCACAATAAACGAAGTGCAGAAAAACTGAATTTCATATGAAGTAAAACTTCTTACCACAGTATCTACCATGTTGATCCGATTTTGTCTTAATTTATTCAAGTACTTCAGGAGGTCAACGTGATGCTCGACCTTTGCCATGTTCATCATGATGTCTAATAGTATCAGAGTTCCGGTGCGACCTACACCAGCACTAGATACATGAAATATTTTCGTTAGAAAAAAATAGTATATATATATATATAACTTTCTTTGTTTAAACCAAGCTTTCTTTTCTTTGTGGAGTATTCACAGTTGAACCTTTTTACATTCGTCAAGTTATATATAGTAGCTGTATTCTAAATATAGCTCTCGAATCGAAAGCCTTAGTTTGAGGGTAAGTCAGTTTAATAGTTTATATACGTTAGAAAACAGTAAGAAAGTTGTATTAACAAATCAGAAGAAGTTAGTTACCTGCAGTGAACAAGAAGAGGTCCATCAGAGACTAATAGTGTATATACGTTAGAAAACAGTAAGAAAGTTGTATTAACAAATCAGAAGAAGTTAGTTACCTGCAGTGAACAAGAAGAGGTTCATCAGAGACTAATAGTGTGTATGCGTTAGAAAACAGTAAGTAAGTTGTATTAACGAATCAGAAGAAGTTAGTTACCTGCAGTGAACAAGAAGAGGTCCATCAGAGACTTGTTTGAAAGTTCGCACTCTTTTTAAGAAAGACACCAGCGACACGGTGTACAAAGGCACACCGTGATCAGGCCACGCTGTGAAGTGAAACTGTTTGATTTCTCGACTTTCTGATCCCTGAAGCAAAGTTAGAAAATAGTAGTAAATATCAATGTATTTAATCAAATGAAATACTAATATTGAAAAGGCATACCGATTAAAATGGTAAAATACAATGGAATATTGAAAGGTAATTTTCAATGCTACAAGAAGTTTATAAAAATGTTTTCTGTATTTGTTAATCCGCCAAACATAATATAGTAAAGATCGTGTTGTTGTTTTTTCCATACATATTCAGTAATCACAGAAAAGAGATTCCAGAACGAATCACATTTATCCTGAATATGCATATATATATATATATATGCTTGTTTTCGAAAGTCTGATGTTTCTAAATAAAGTTAGTTTTGGAAAAATTCGAGAGTTAGGTGATAGTTTAATAAGTTGTTTGGTGCGTTTTAAAGTTACCGAAAGAGAGGCCGGAGTTATGAACTCGAGATTAAATAGAACCGGCACGAGTTCCTAGTAACACTCAATTCTATTAACAATATCTATAAACATTTCAAGTCACTGGACGATGTTTCAAAATAATCAATGAGCGTGGTGGACTCCACCTCGTACGTTAGGCCTTCTAATGAATTATTTATATAGTTGAGTATCTCTCAGTCAAGTTTTTTTTTCTTGGCTCCTTTGTCAAAACAAATATAGTAGATCATTGTATCCAAGAGGGTGGAAGAGATGGTACTAAATCTTGAGAAGAAACAGGTAAAAAAAAGTACAGACAATATAACCTATATCTTTCAAAAAATTAACGATTGATACCATTATAGTTTAATTACTGAGCGCTAATACCGCTTATTTGGAGTTAAAATATAACCTATATCTTTCAAAAAATTAACGATTGATACCATTATAGTTTAATTACTGAGCGCTAATACCGCTTATTTGGAGTTAAAATATAACCTATATCTTTCAAAAAATTAACGATTGATACCATTATAGTTTAATTACTGAGCGCTAATACCGCTTATTTGGAGTTAAAATACTTACGCTGCACGCAATAAGTTCTTGTACGTTAAAATGAGCAAACACTTCCCTTTTAATTAAAGTCACCGTAACAGACCCGTATTTCTTCGTACTGTCTGGCCAATACTTGTCACTTTTGATCTGTTAGAGAAGAAAACTATGATCAGTGATGAAATATCTAGACATCTTTCACTTAAGCAAACAATAGTTTATATACATATAAACTCGTATCACAATAACATTATTTCTGTTATGAAAATGAAAAGTGAGATTTTGACAAAAAGAAAACTTAGTTTTACTGGGGTAGAACACCTTACTTGTAATAGATCACCAAGCAGCATCACAGTAATAGATATACCAGCTTTCCCCCTCAGGAAGATCAGCGGTAAGGCAGTGGGCTTACAATGCTAAAAACTCTTGGGGTACTCTTTTACCAACGATTAGTGGGATTGACCGTCACATTACAACGCCCCCACAGCTAAAAGAGCGAGCATGTTCGGTGACTTTTGTGTGTAATTGAAGAAATGTTTGAATGCTAATATCGAGTTATACAGGTAAGCACCTTTTATGACTTTATATGTTTTTGACATTTATTTTTGTTTCTGTTTTATCTTTGTGCATAGATGAACTGCAATTTAACATTTGATGTTTTCACTTAAATGTTTTTTTTAGTTGCTGCAAAAATTTACTCATTTATACATGGTGTTATTAATTTGGATTTTATTACTACTAGATATATGAAAATAAAATGTAATATTTAACACTAAATCAGTTTTTTAATCAAATATTTATAATTTAGATTCCTGAATGTCTATCATAGGGTGTCAATAGAATTTACATTTTACTCCTACCCTTGTTTCTACACACACACACACACGTATATAAATAACCACCAGCCCACGCTAGACCCAAAAAGAATAACGAGTAGTAATGTCTTCCAGAAGAACATCGTACTAAGAAACTGACTTACTCTTGTAGCTTGTGATATATGATCAAGTTCTTTTTAATGATACATTGGTGAAAATATTCATAATATTATAGGAAACATTACATCTTCTTTTTTTTCTAGATCTTTCAAATGAGTATTTCATCCACTAAGTGTGGAAATTATGAGAAGGGGTAAGTAAACACACCTTTCCTTTTTCTACAAGATTTGTAACCATTGCAATTAACGTTACACCTTCTTGCCAAACCATTCTCCAAAAGTCCACAACAGTGTTAGGCTTGGGACCTATAAAATACGACTTATGATTATTAACATAAAGCCTAACTTACATCAGGCTTAACATCTCTGAATGTGAATCAAATTAATATTTTACATAAGACGTTATTGATTTAGCTCAAAAGAAAACTAAATTGCAATAACATAAGTCTTGCCTTATCATTATCTACCAAATATTTTAATTAAACCCTAACATTTCATCACATTTATGATCTTCAATGTCGTCTTTATTTAACCAGCTTAGATGCTTTATACCATAATTAAAGCGGATTTTAACGGAGTCCAATAACTATAATTCAATATAACAATAAGATTTATGTTTGTTATCTATATTTTAAATAATAGAACATGTTCATTCCTGCATAAATTTGAATCGCTAAGCAAAAAGTAAAAAGAGTAATTTTATTTGTAATGCATCATTTTTTTCTTTCAAATACAAAAATGTGACCGATATTTATGCTTAAATAACACACTGATCCCAAAATGTGAGCCGATATTTATGCTTAAATAACTCACTGATCCCAAAATGTGAGCCATACTTACGTATCAATAATACACTGTAACATTATCGTACCTTGTGTTGCAATGTATTCCTTTTGTCTTTCATAACCCTAAAATTACAAAAAGTATGTGCTAAATACAAAATAAACGACAATCAATGTATTAATAAATACAAGAATTACTCATCAAACCTGCAGTGTATCAACTCTAGCGAAAAGAATAAAGAAATAAGTGTACATGTGGAGTGCATTTCAGTTCATAAAATGTTTCATAACTGCATTATTCAAAATACAATACACAGAATTTGCATGTATGTATAAAAAGGCATCATTTTTGTAATACTCAACAGAAACATGTTACATTTGAGTTCTCTCATTATAAAATCAACAACAGCAAAATATGTTAATCAAGATTAGATTAAAATGATCTCAACGACACAGGTTTTGTATGTATAGAATTTGTTTCTGACTAAATAACAACTCGCTCAGGTATTTAATAATTTAAGTATCAACACCTTCTAGTCCAGAGGTTTTTCACTCTCTTTTAATTCGGGACTTCTTTTGTGGGGGTAAATATTTAATACCTAAAGATCTGATGAGCACTTTATTGATTCAGTAGATCGATTTGAAACTTCTCTACTAAAAATATGATGAGCACTTTATGGATTCAGTAGATCAGCTTACAACTTCTCTAGTAAAGATATGACGAGCACTTTATGAATTCAGTAGATCACCTTACAACTTCTCTAGTAAAGATATGAGGAGCTTTTATGGATTCAGTAGATCACCTTACAACTTCTCTAGTAAAGATATGAGGAGCACTTTATGGATTCAGTAGATCAGCTTACATCTTCTCTAGTAAAGCCAGATTTTAACCTTCGGTTTGTAAGGAAAGCTCTAAAGGATTTCTCAGAAACAATAACATAAGTAGAACATTTCTGAGTAAAATTCTAATGGGACAATAAAAAAGACATATTTTTCGTAAAATCCCCTATATTTAGATAAATATCTTTAAACAAATGATAGCTATTGTGTTGGTTTGCGCGAAAATCAGACAAGAACTAAAAAAGAAACTTTTTCCAGGCAGCGAATAGGTTGGGAAAATGGAAGTCAGTCACTTTGAAAATATACGTATTTACAAACAGCTTTAAAGAGCTTTGTTGCACTTTTTTAACTCCTTCACGAACTCTTTGGAGCCTCCCGAAACCCATATTTTGAGAACCCCTGTTCTAGCCCATTGACAATGATAATTATATGAAAGTTAATAGACATTGGTACTTTTTACAACGGCTCAATGCGCTTTTTAAAGCTATTTGTTTTCCATCGAAAATATCAAACCCTTAAAGTTTTGCTAACATCACAGAATAAAGCTGTGTTTATGTTATCATAATTTATTATAATTATTTTTGTTGTTATTATTCATTGCGTCTTGGATTACACTTAACTATGCAAATTGGTATTTATTCACAACGAGGTTCACTAACAACATAAACTATGTTGCGTGTATTCATAACACAGAGAATAATTAACAGTTTTATGTTGTGTTAGTAAACGCCGAAACTGATGAGTTCCGGCATTGACTAGTGGCAATCAAAGGGTAAATTTTAAATTCATGTTTACATGCATCTAATTTATAATCCACGAAAAAAAGTAACTAGAAGAATGAGACAAAAAAAAAGCATGTGTGATGAAAATGTGATTTCAATCACAAGTTTTAGGCTTAATAAATTAACAAGTTTGTAATCCATTAATTTAAAACCTGAAAAATATATGAAAATGTAAGTTTTCACAGTCTATTATGACAGAAAATTTTCCTGACCTCTCTTTAAAATTCAAATACTCAAGTTAAGAAATTTTATTTAATTGGAACCATGAACTCTTACAAAGCATTCGCGACTTTTTTCTTTCATCATATATCAAAGTAAATTGATTATATTAATTTATAAAGTAAGTAATTTTGTTTTTATAAAAATTATGAATGAGTAATTTTGTGTGTAATGCATAAAATCTTACGAATAAATCGGGTTAAAAGTAAAGAAAATTCATTAACCCATTTTACCTTTCGTTTCTGGATATTTTCAAGATGTTAGTAAAATGAGCACAATAAACAAAGTGATAGTTTTATACTAAATCAGAAAATATAAGACAGCGTATTGTAGATGTACTTACGTCTATATAGTTGGCGTTAATATAATCAGAAGATTGGTCAGTGTTCTGGTATTCCAAAATTACACGACTGTGGTCATCTGTTCAGAAACGTTCAGTATATTAGTATTTTTTTTTTCAGATTATCAATTTGATAACTTGAAGTATTGCATACCTACTAGCCTATCCTGGTTCGCTTATATAGAAAAATAATTCGTCATGAAACCTATGTATATGGTAATGTTATTCGAAAGTCTTGTGTAAAATCAATATTTTTCTTTGAATTTCTAATCTGTTATTGGCATAATTGAAATATTTTCTGTCATCAGATCTTGAATTATAAATGATATATATTTTATTCATAATTAATGGGTTTACAACACAGGTATGTTTAGCTTTCTGTTACTGACACATTTCCAGAAAAAAAGTGATATTTCACATAATTTAAAACATATTGCAAAACTTTGAAAATCGGCCATATATATATATATACCCAGTACTCTATATTAATTAAGCTTGCAGCTTTGTACATATTTATGTAAATTCGTATGTATGATCAGTTAACTCCTCCAACATTGCTGGAACAAGGCAGGCAGACTCTGAATGGACCTACAAAGAGGATACCTAGGTGGGTCAGGCATGAAAGGGTTTAGGAGTGGGTTTTCAGGATTATACCTTCACTCACAAACTAGCAGGATCAAACTTGACACACATGCTCAAATATCACGAGAGAGTGCCCTAACGGTATTTTTGGTTGTTGTTGTTTTTTTTGGCATGACCCCCCCCCCCCCGTCTCATTGGGATAGTTATAGAAATAACTGGAGACAATGGAGGATCTTGATCAGTACATTGGAGCCTCTGTGAATCATTTTACCTACACAACAAAGCGCGGGTACTTTATGCTTGTTTAATCAATACACGTAACACTGTATTATGTAAATTCTATTCAATTTCTTTATTTATGTTTTTCTTATTGGTTTCTGTTCTGTTTTGGTTTGTTTTGAATTTAGCGCAAAGCTACATGAGGGTTATCTGCGCTAGCCGTGAAAGACTAGAGGGAAAGCAGCTTGTCATCACCACCCACCGACAACTCTTGGGCTACTCTTTTACCAACGAATAGTGGGATTGACCGTAACGTTATAACGCCCCCACGGCTGAAAGGGCACGTATGTTTGGTGGAACGGGGATTCGAACCCGCGACCCTCATATTGCGAGTCATGGCCATGCCGGGCCGTTTCTGTTCTAATAAACGTACGTCTAGTAGTAGTGAGTAATTCATGGATGATTATAATTTGTCTATTTCTTTTTTATTAGTTGGTAACGTGTAAACGTGTGAGCTACACATAAGTTCAAGATGTCTGAAAATAAGCTTTCACGGAAATTGATGAGCTTTATTTTGAGAGAAATACATTGAAATAGGCTTAATCAATGCATACGATAAATCATTACCACTTCCAAAGAAAGTTCTGGAAGAATACCTAACATTACATTAACAACTCACAGCAATTCTTTTTAAAATGTATTATGAAAATCAAAGAAATACATTTTAGTATACACATACAATTTAATTTACTAGTTCCTTGTATCGTAAGTCTTTAATTAGCCTTGGAAACAAAAGTAATAAGAGAAACAATTAGTTATTTCATAATATGCACAGAAGTTTAGTTTGTAAAGGTTAAGTTTTAAAAGATAATTTATGCGGCCAAAGCATTGCAGGTATGCTTGCTGAAAAATACACATAGAAATCAAGTTCTAACAGAAAATTTCACAAACAGAATGAAATAAATGTATACTATACTAGATGTAGTTCCGTGGGGTCCTCGAAAGTATACTATTTCAAGAGTCAATAAAACCAAAATTAAGAGTATCAAAATATTTTTATTTCTTGCTTTTGAAGTTCATATGTCATGCCTACAGAGTGCATAATTCTTCTCGTGATTTATGGCATGCGCACGTTTTTTAATAGAAAAATTGAATACAACATTGTATTAGATCAAAGAAGAAATAGATGTTAGATAAAATTTGTAAAATACATCAAAATTTTTCCTCACACACAAAAAAAAAAATCCTTTTCTATGTAAAATTCATAACAGTCGTGTATTAAAGGTTGTTCAGTAAAATATAAATTACACTTACATGCCATTAAGTTTCCATAGCGATTTTTTAACCTGTTTTCCTGTTTTTTAGCAATTTCCCATGATTGTGTCTGTCCTTTAGGCACTTCCTAGAAATGATAAAAAATAATCATTTTTACCATCACAACCCATTACTACATTTACACCGGTAGGTTGTTTTATACAATGTAGTTTATTTCAATACATTCTATAATTTTAATCTTACCATCACAACCCATTACTACATTTACACCGGTAGGTTGTTTATACAATGTAGTTTATTTCAATACATTCTATAATTTTAATCTTACCATCACAACCCATTACTACATTTACACCGGTAGGTTGTTTCATATAATGTAGTTTGTTTTAAAACATTCTATAATTTTAATCTTACCATCACAACCCATTACTACATTTACACCGGTAGGTTGTTTCATATAATGTAGTTTATTTCAACACATTCTATAATTTTAATTTTAATTCAGCTTTTATAAAAAAAAAAATATGGAAGTCTAATTGTTCTTATTTTTTTAGCCTTTTATTCAACAAAGAAAAATGTGGGTTTCCCAACACACATAATTCGCGATTTTCAACCTTCTTCTGTAAGAGCGCCTTTAAACTGTGTTATTCAGGTGAGAAGGATAAGCATATGAGAAGATCAAGCTTTCTTACTGCTAATACGCTACTAAACAATGTTGAAGCCTCCCTGTGAACTTCCTACAACAAGGTTTTAGTTTAAATAAAGATGGACGCATACATGTTTTTGAGCTACACACGTAATTTGAATTGTTTTGAAGAACAAAATATAAAAACTCAGAAACAAATAATAAACTGATATTAATCAACTGAACTGTTTTTGTGTTTTAAAAGCAAATTAATAAAAAAATTAGTAAAATGGGAACCTTTATTACTCAAGAAAATGCCTCCACGGTAAAATTAATTGTGTATTTACACATCTATATTATAATGTCTAAGTTTACGAGTAATTATTGTATTTATAAACACACTAAAACGTCCTGTAAGTACACTACGAGTAGTGTTTTGGCAGAACTTTTTATCCCTGATTTCTGTCAACCAACTCAAAAATGCTAAAGTTAAAGCCATTGTAAATTCAGACAGTTGAAACCAGGTTTGGTTGATGTATCACAGTGCTTATTATTTCAGCTTATAGACAGTTTTTGTGACACAATATCCTAGGAACACAACATGGATCAGGTATTGAACTCAGCCAGTTGATACCAGGTATGACTGATGTATCACAGTGCTTATAAATAGTTTTTGTAACACAAGAATATAGAAACACAACATGCATCAGGTATTAAACTCAGCCAGTTGACACCAGGTTTGATTAATGTATCACAATGCTTACAGAGAGATTTTATGACACAAAAATATAGAAACACAACATGCGTATGGTATTAAACTCAACCAGTTGACACCAGGTTTGGTTGATGTATCACAGTGCTTATAGATAGATTTTGTGACACAAGAACCTAAAAACACAACATGCGTCTGGTATTAAAACTGCCTTCCTTTTAGCAGCACTTTCTTTTCTTCGAACTAAGAAAAACAAGAGGGAGTCCTCAATAGCCGCGGCACTTGGACTACTTTTAGGCATAATTAGAGTAAATTAATCTATGAGACCTTTTTTCTTCCTTTGTATTATCTATATTTTTATGCGCCAGCAATACCAAGCGTAGGGTGCGCGTATACCCGATTCGATTTTATTACTCCTCAGGATCTCTACCAGCCTACCCTCAAATTGGAATTCTTTTAAGCAGGATTAGAATAAATTAATGTATGAGACTTTGGGCGTGGTCAATATATCAATCGAAAGAGTTTTACCTCCTGAGTCCAAAACTTTAATTAGATATCAAATCGGGCAAGAGATGACGGAGGTATGAACTAAAAGTTTGTACGAGAAAAACTCAGAGCCGTTCTATAAGCCGCTATGCCGAGGCTAAAAATGTAACTCAGCGGTAAGATTAAGGACTTATAACGCTAACAATGAGGTTTCATTATCGGTTGTGAGCACAGTACAAACAACCCACTCTGTAGCTTTTTGCTTTACTACAAACAAACAAAACAAATGTAAGCATAAATAAATCTGTATTCAGATTTAATATTTATATAATCATTTGTTATCAGCCTATGTAATACGGAATAACTCACAGTTTATTTTGACCCAAAAACTGTAATACATCAGTTGATTGGTAAATAAACAGAGTATCTTATTATTTGCTGGAGCAAATAACTGTGATTTTTAATTAAAATGTGGGATTTTATTTTCAACAGACTCAGATAATTCTAAAACTCATCTTATTAATGATCAGGATTACTGGTTCCATTTTTATTTGATATTGCCGCCTAGTGGTACAACGGTATGCCTGCGGACCTACAATGCTAGAAATCGGGTTTCGATACCCGTGATATGTAGATCACAGATAGTCCCTCTTGTAGTTTTATGCTTAATTTCAAACAAACAAATCTTTGTTATTATCTCTATTCTTCTTCTACATCATTTCTAAAGTCCTTCCTATGTTTATCTATTTCATTTAGATAATAATATTCCCTCAAATTACTCACACTGCCTCCAATATTTATCCAACACAGCACAGACCGTTGTGTAACCTTTTGTTTAACTAATAGACGAACAAGCACTGTCTCCAGATATCGTTTTCAACATTTCTACAAATTACTTTAATGACATATCAAATACATCTTAAAGTTTGTTCGTTACGCTTTCATAGATTCCGAAAAATTGCGAGTTTTTATAATATTATTTGAGCATCTTCAATTTCTACAAATTTGATATTATGCTTTATATATAAGTGTCATATTCTTCCTTTGTACTTCGATATTAATTCCAATAGTCTGTTTACTTGTGATGTAGTATCAGAATTAAGAAAAGTCTGTTAAAAAGTAAAGTTTAAAAAAATCAGTGTAAAGTATCTGAATATTAGCTGGACGGAAGTTATGTATATTCATGATTAATGAAAGGTTATCTTAGGACATGAAAAGTTGTAAAAAACGCCCATAAAAACTGCAAGTCACAAAATGTGAAACCGCAACTTTACATGTATCTCCGCATGAACCCAATAAACCTTCATGCCAAATTTGGTGAAGATCCATCAAGAGTGGGTGAAGTAGTGGTAAAAAACGCTAAAACGCCCATGAAAAACCACAAAACGCAAAATCTGAAACCGCAACTTTACATGTATCTCCGCATGGACCCAATAAACCTTCATGCCAAATTTGGTGAAGATCCATCAAGAGTGGGTGAAATAGTGTTAAAAAACGCCAATAAAAACCAAAAACGCAAAAGGCAAAACTGAAAATGTGTATGTATCCCCGCAAAGACCTGATGAGCCTCCTTACCAATTTTGGTGAAGATCCATCCAAACCTTGCGGATTGGTTACATGGACATATAACAGACAGTGGTATTATATTTATATAGATAATATTGTTATACTATAATATTGTAATAATATAGTATTGTAATAATATAATATTGTAATAATATAATATTGTAATAATATAATATTGTAATATAATATTGTAATAATATAATATTGTAATATAATATTGTAATAATATAATATTGTAATATAATATTGTAATAATATAATATTGTAATATAATATTGTTAAATATTATACATGTCTGTGTCCTCTTTTATAACTCTTAACATATAAAACCTACCTTATATTCTTCTCTTATCACACATGTTCTAAGGTGTTTTTGGACATATTCTTCTATCTCTGATACGTGTATCTTATTGCTTTTTTCTTCAATAATATTTTCGAATTCAAGTTCTAGTTCATCACATGATTGGGATATTGCTAAAGGATCTGCATCTGTAATAGTTTATTGGCTATTTTTATGAAATTGTACTGGATATGCTTGCGCAAAGAAACAAAAATGAAACGTTAAGATAAATTGCATAAATGTTTTATATTTCCTTTGTCTTGAAAGCTGCGCCACGCTAAAACTACAGCTTTAGGAAAATATTGCTTCTAATTTTACATTAAATTAAGTTTTCAGAGTTTGTATCTAAAGATCTCAAAGATTCATAAAATATATAATATTTGTAGAACGTAAACATTCTACTGACTATTTCATTTGATGTATTTAAAAGTTTCAGTGACTAATTAGTGACTTACACTTGCATAGAAAACAACTAACCTTTAATCTTCAACATCCTTAACCGGAAGCTATTACTTGCCCGGGCAATTCTTGAATTTGGCCTTCTAAAACGAATAGAGAGGAATGAGTTATATATCTAGAATGTACTCAGGTTTTATGAACTTTAGTTTTTTCTTTAAAGTGAAACAGTTTTCTTTTTTCGTTTCATTGAGATAAACAAGAAATTCAAGGAATTGCGTGTAGAATTTTCGTAGACCGAATAACAACTGACTTTAAAAAGTAAACAGAGATCTAGCTTCAGTTGAAGCAACTTTAAGATTACACGCTCAACAAGCTTTGTAGAACACGGAATAATTAAAAAAATCTATAAAAGTTAATCATCCATCCCTATAAATTATAAGCAGAAAAGGAAACTGGATTTTACGTTTTTAGGAGGGACACATTGAAATTTGGACTATGCAGGCTTTCTTGCTCTATAATTTTAAGTGTTAAACTCAGCATGAGAAATAGAAAAGAAAAGAGTTTGTTTGTTTGAAGTTAAGCACAAAGCTACACAATGGGCTATCTGTGCTCTGCCCACCACAGGTATCGAAACCCAGTTTCTAGCGTTGTAAGTCCGCAGACATACTTATGCGTCACTAGGGGGCAAAAGAAAATGGAAAATGAGCAATATGTTTCTCCTAGTGAATTTAAAATGTCTGTATAAGATGTCAAGATACAGTTTACATCATTCGGAGAAACTTTTAACAGAATATTCTGTGCAAAACTATCTGTGCTATAGCCAAATTAGCTACACAAATATTACTATATTTTTAGTTAGCATACAAAAGAAACTACTCCTTAATAACAAATATAACCTGACTCTCGAAAGCATATTAGATTAAACAGAATTTAATGTTAATGTATAAATTAAAAACTCAAGAATCCGAGAGCATTTAGAGCGTTTACTTTTGATACTATTCAGAATATGTATACAAATTATGAAAGAATTAATTTCGCATGTGACGTTCCGTTAAACACACATCTTTGTATTCCTTCATTCAGAACGACTGAGGCTGTTTAGCTGTTCCAGTAGGTTTTTAGTACCCACTTTCCCTTCATTTTGATCAGGTATATATTGTAATAATCATTACATTAGCTAACAGTGGGTAACAGAGTCTCTACTACAACCAACAGAAAACTGCAGTTCCAAGCAAAAAAGAAGATTAGTACGTTATGTTAAAAAAAAAATTGAATATATACAAATCAGCAAGTTACGTGTCAACCATAGCCGATATAAATTGGGGTGTAAAGGCATATATCAGACGTAACTACATTTTGATATTGTTTGGAGTTCCATAGATAATGTGATGCCACTTTTGGGAAAATGTATGTAACAGCCAATTTCCGACGCAAAACGTTCTTACACTTAGATCTGATGTGATCAAATCTGTAATTTATAATTTCCAAGACGGGCATATCCATAGTACTTAATGGCATTGGAAAATAAAAGAAGGGGAATCTTGGAACATCGGGACCATCCAGAAACAGACCTGCAAAAAGTCGTACACCAGTGGTGGTAAACGAAGTGGTGTTTTGCAACAGTGGAAATCCAGACAGTGGCAAAAGCCGTCCTCGTGTCTGAGGCAATATTAGGAAGCAGGATCAGGAAGAATCTCTATCTGGAAAAACGACCAAGTCAGTTGTACATAAGTTGCTTCCACCACCTACTAGTTCAACGGCCGCCTACCTCAACAGCTGGAGAATAGAACGCCTATTCGTGGTCGTCAGCATAAGATATGACAGATGTACTGTGTTTGGTATATTATTATTATTTGTTTTGGCTTCCACCAGACTTTAGATTTCTGTACAATCGTTTGTTGAAATGGGGGGCCCTGGGAAACCGTTCTCCCCGTATACTAGATGAATTATGGAAAGCAGGAAGGAGGATGGTTGTGATTTTAACGTAACAGTCTTATTACGAAATCTTTCACAATTTGAAAAGCCACGGACGCCAGATAGAGCATGACAGGACGTGGCAACATGAACTGCAACGACATGGTAAGCCAATCAGATTGTTTTACTATAACGTATTCAAACTCTGTACGAGTTTTGTATTATCCCATGTAAGTTGATAATAAAGAAATATCGTATAGACTCTTCCAAAGATGGGTCCATGTCAAAACACACCTTAAACTGGATTGGGTGAAATTCTATATGATACACTGTAAAGTTTTATCTTATAAGGATATCACTTTCATTAGAAACCTATAAATTTACTTCTTTGTTTGTTTCTTGGCGCAAAGTTGCACAATAAGCTATTTACGATGAACCCAATGTATGAACCAAACCAGAAATTTTGCCTTATAAGCTCTCATGTTTACTGCTAAGCCAGAAGTTTGAAATTGTGTATATTCGAAAATATTAAGACTACTGTCACCAGTGTGTCAGCTATTGTACAAAATAATTTAGGAATTAATTACACTATCATTCATATTTCAAATTATGACGTAACTTAAAGAATAAAAATGTAGATTTACCGTAAGTTATTGTTGAGCGGCTCTTAACATGACTGAAATGTTCAACAATTACTTTTCGCTGTGGGCGGTATAAGTAACTTAGAGCTTTGGCTCTGAGTGAAACCAAGAGTGCAATACAATTAACATTTTTGAAGTCCATGAAATAATTTAAATTGAGGGATTAACTTAAACTTTTACCGCCACTGGGGACGGGTACTTTTGCTTGTTTCAAATAAGTTAAACAAATACAAGTCTTGTCAAAAAAGATTAAACAGAAAATCATTTTTTAGCCATCCATACAAGAAAAAGTCGATACCTTTACTAAGATGACTGTATGTGTAAAATATTTGAATCGGAACACCAATCACGATATCAGTTGTGTAAGTAAATTTTAAGTTTCAACACCATATACAAGGTACATAAACTAAATGGGTCAAGTCAGAGTCTTGGCGGTAACTAAAAGATAACTTAGCTACGTTGATCAAATTTGACTCTCAACTACAACTGAGATACGATATGATCTAGTTGTGTAAAGTTGATTCGATATTTGATAATCTGCCCATATTAGACACAGCGGTATATATTCTACTTGTGTGCAAGCTATTGGTAGTAAACTTGAAAACGGGTATCTATATATATATTCATTACAATATTATTGAGTACTACTTATACATCTTTTCATTCATTACAAAAGAACTATTTAAACGAACTGACAAATATATTAATGAGTCGTTCGTGATACGTTATATTTTAACCATGATTGTTTTCTACTTTTCCTAAATAACTATGTTTAAGTTGAAAGAAGACTACCTGTATAGTATAAAGAGTAATGCCAGTACAGTAACTCCACATATCAATGCAAATGTGCCAAAAACAATAGCAATAATGGTTGCAACATACGATCTCGCCGGCTCTTCTTTTCTCACTGAAAAAATAAAAATAATTTTTATTAAAAAAATCAACAACAAAAAAAAGAAACATTGAATTAAACACGAATACTATGTAGATGAAATGTTTGTAAAAAATAATGTTATTAAAATGTATTTAGTTTAAGCATCTTATCCTACCAAACATATAAATATTAAGAGTTTCTCAAATTTTTAATCGATATTAGTTCCCATAACAGTGAGTTTCATCAACTGAAAATTTAAAAAGTTGCTTAAGATGGTTTGAGGGCAGATGGCACGTGTTCTAACAGAGAAAAAAAAATCTAACACTTTTAGCACTTAGAACATTTTAAATAAAATACAAAATAATAGTAAGAACAATTATATTTATTTCTCAATTTGTTACAAAGTTTTTGGTTTGACGTTTTGTTGTTGTCAAGCGCAAAGTTATGCAATGGGCTATCTATGCTCTGTCCACCACAGGTATCGAAACCCGGTTTTTAGCGTCATAAGCCTGCAGACTTACCGCTGTATCATTATGAGGGGAGGCGAGCTTTTTTACAATATTAACCACATGTAGCTTGGTTCTATGATCTTTATTTCTGTCTTTAAATCCTCTTTAATACTGAAATGGCATTTCCACGTATCAGTAAGCTTAAAGAATGAGTCAGAAATTATAATGTTCAAATTATGCATTAAGCATATTAAAATCAGGTATTTTTTTTTAGGTGCTTAATATTTTGTCTCCCATGAAAAGTTTTTTAATCTTCAGCCATCTTTCAGTCCAATTTTATATTCACTTAAGCAACGAAACGGTAGAGATTGAAGTAAAATCAATTTTATTTTATTTGTAGTTATTTATTGAATCTTACAATTAAGGGAATTTCACTTTCAAAACAAACAAACAAACCTACTTCGAGTTCAGTTTTTAAGCAGAATTATTGCCAGTTCAACCAGCCTTGTTTGTATCATGATTCATATTACATTTTAATCATTATAAATTCGGAAAATCGTACAAGAACTATGAAAGAAAGCATTGATCCAGAGCAAATGTTGCTTATGTATTCCAGTACAACGTTTAAAGTAATCTTACTTACTTTTCGTTAGAGGGTTTGAAAGTCGTCACATAAAGTTTTGTTGCACTGATATAAGCTGGCTCGCTATCTTATGAGAACTCCTAAAGAAGGCGGAGCGTGTTCAACCGAAACATGTATAGTTTTTTTAATTTATTTTATTATTTATTTTTAACTTTATACAAGTAAATTATTGTGTGTGTCGAAACGTTGGTGTCGTCATCTTAATATTTTTGCTAAATGGCCTATTATCGAATGAATATAAAACTTATACTGTATTTTTCACCATTAACATGTTGTAGTGTGATCTAACTTGTAAGTTTCCATCCCTCGTCGTCTTTAACAAAGTAAAATATTTGAAACTTGCAGAACCTGTTTTGAACGAATAACCGTCTCATATTTGAGTACATTTTTAGTCATTTAGTTAGATCATCAAAATCAAATGCACATAACTGTTCCCTCTCTTTTGACGTTTTGGTTGTTGTTTTTTTCACGAGATGCAACGGTTTCTTCAATTTCTGAAACCGCTTAGCATAATGTTGTAGCACTTGTCTTTTGAATGGTTTCAGCAGCTGTAATTTCTTGATTCGTTGTAATGATATACCCTAAATATTCTTTTAATATATCGCTTTGAAAAAACGTGAGAAAAATTACTTTTTCTCTTGATGTTCTTTTCTGATACTGCGCACTAGAAAGATGGCGCTTTCCATAAACCATGCTTTTCTTAAGTTTATTGTCTACCTTTTTTCAGCTATAACTTATTGTTACTTTTTTCTTTACTATTTGGCACTTTTAACAAACACTTACAATCTTAAAAATATTTATATAATAGTATTTATATATTGCATATTTCTTGAAAAAAGTGTCCGACTGAGCTCACATTTTCAAAATTTCACAAACATTTCTAGTTATGTATTTTTATTTTGCATATTTGTTGAAAAAATTATTGTTTTCAGTTTTTATACTGACTGCTCCGTCCTTCTCTCCAATGCTTCCAGCAATAGACGTTCTCAAACTTGGGGAAACGTGACAAATGAGGTGATATTATAAATATACAGCGCCCTTGGCAAACACATCTATCAGTGAAATAGTTTTCAAATTGCCACCACCCCCCATCCTTCCCGATGATTCACCAGTAACGCTGAGGGCTTATAACGGCATTTCTTACTTCTCTACACGATAACACAGGCTTAGTAGGTCGAGCAGAAAAAAAAAACAGTATCTTGCACCCACGTACTTTTTTTCCCCATTTTCTATAAATACTGATTTCACTTTGCTCTAAATGACACATAATATGATACAACCTACAGTTATTATATCAAAATTTGATATTCAACCTACCGGTAACAGGTTTTCCGATTTCTTTATAACTGTATTTCTCTTCCTGAAATAATGATTTTCAGCATTAGTTTCAAAAAATGATAAGTTTTAAACAGCATCAACAAAAGTATACTAGTTATAACAAATGTTTTAAACAGCAAAAAATAAAGTATACATGGGTTATACCACACCTTTTAAACAGCAACAATAAAAGTATACATGGGTTATACCATACCTTTTTAATAGCATCAATAAAAGTATACTAGTTATAACAAATGTTTTAAACAGAACCAATAAAAGTATACATGGGTTATAACAAATGTTTTAAACAGCAACAATAAAAGTATACATGGGTTATACCACACCTTTTTAACAGCACCAACAAAAATATACTAGTTATACTAAATGTTTTATATAGCACAAATAAAAGTATACATGGGTAACACCACACGTTTTAAACAGCATCAACAAAAGTATAAGAGTTATACCATATGTTTTAAACAGCACCAATAAAAGTATACACGGGTTATATCACACGTTTTAAACAGCACCAATAAAAGTATACGAATTATATCAAGCACTTTAAACAACACCAATAGAAGTATACGTGAGTTACACCACATATTTTAAACGGTACCAATAAAAGAGTACATGGGTTACAGCACACGTTTTAAGAGGTTTACTTAAAACTAACATATTTGGAGTTTAAAACACGATAGTTGAATCTTTTCGATCAATTAACACTAACATTAAGTAAAGTACCAAAATATAACTTTTAACTTTTCGATGTTTCATCAGGGGAAATTGAAACACATTACGTTATGAATTATTTATTATAATATTCTATTTTTATAATTCGCGTTTAATAAAGAAAACGAGTCTTAAATAACCAAATGTAATAATTAAAATCTAAATCAATAGCAGGGGAAAGTAACTTTGAAAACTTGCAAAAGTATCAAACTCATAATGCATGCACTGAACGTTTTTAATTAGCTCTATAAACTGTTATCAAAATATATTCACACCTAATGTTCAATTCTACATTCGGACTGATAGTTAGGGTGCTCGACGCGCAATCTGCGAGTCGTGAGTTCGAATCCCCCCTTCACAGAACATGCTCGCCCTTTCAGCTGTTGGAATGTTATAATGTAACAGTCATTCACACTATTCGTTTTTAAAAGAATAGTTAGCGGTTGGTGGTGTTAAGTAGCTGTCTTCCCTCTAGTATATCACTGTTAACGACTAGTGCAGGTAGCCTTCGAGTAGCTTTGTGCGAAATTTAATACAAGCCATATCGATCTATTAAACAAAACCAAAGTTCTGCCTTAATTATATTATTCACTAATTAGAAAGAGTAATTCAGAGAAAATGCTTTTGCAATATCACTTAAAGGAAATGTAGTCATGTACTGTATTCACTATTGTAGGCATGTACTGCTCTCACTATTGTAGGCATGTACTGTATTCACTATTGTAGTCATGTACTGTATTCGCTATTGTAGGCATGTACTGTATTCACTATTGTAGGCATGCACTGCCCTCACTTAACTTT